TCCCCACCCCCACCCCCACCCCCAAACCCCCCCCACCCCCCACCTCTCTCTCTCTCTCTGTAACTCCTTCCCTTGTTAGACTAAGTGTAACTTGCGACACCCGCCTGGAAACGAGATCTACAGGAAAGGAACAATCTCCTTCTTCGAGATCGATGGACGGAAAAACAAGGTGACTGTCTTACTCCCTTAACCCCCGCCGCCCCCCCCCACCCCACCACCCTGCCCACCCCGGCTCATCGGCAGGACCTGGAAGGGCCGACCAGTCACTGGGGCCAGAGAATCCTCCCCCTCAGCTCAACAACAACAACAACAACAAGATTCCATTTATAGAGCGCCTTTCACGTCAGGAGGACGTCCCAAGGCGCTGCACAGTTGGGTCCTGTTAACCCCGCAGGCAAAGGCCCCACTAACTAACTAGCGGGGAGGGCGGTCCGAGCTGGACAAGCAACAGGAAAGCTTGGCCAGACAGCGCTCTCCCTCCCTCTCTCTCTCTCCTCTCTCTCTCTCGAGGTAGAGGGACTCTGTGGGAGGGAGGGAGGGAGGGAGGGAGAGGGCGAGGCGGAGGGATGGAGAGTGGCACTCAAGACGTTGGCTGCCGTTTTGTTTGGCGCAGAACTACTCACAGAACCTGTGCCTTTTGGCCAAGTGCTTCCTCGACCACAAGACCCTCTATTACGACACGGATCCGTTCCTCTTCTATGTGATGACAGAATACGACTGCAAAGGTTTCCACATCGTGGGCTACTTCTCCAAGGTGTGAGGCCGGGCTTTCTTCTCCCCCCTCTCTCCCCACCCGCCCGCCCGCCCGCCCGCTCTCCTCTCCCCTCACTCCCCCCACCCCCCCCCCACCACCCCAACTCTCTACCCTGCCCCTCCACTCTCTTCTCTCTCCTCTCCTCTCTCTCCCCCCATGCTCTCTCCTCTTCCCCTCTGCTCTCTCCCCTGCACCCTCCTCTCCCCCGCACTCTCCTCTCCCTCCCACCCGCCACTCTCCCTCCCTCCCTCCCCGCACTCTCCCTCCCTCCCTCCTCCGCACTCTCCCTTCCCCCCCCGCACTCTCCCTCCCTCCCTCCCTCCCCTGCATTCTCCCTCCCTCCCTCCTCCCGCACTCTCCCCTCCCTCCCCCCGCACTCTCCCTCCTCCTCCCCCCTCCTCCTCCCCCACACACTCTCCCCTCCCTCCCTCCGCACTCTCCCCTCTCTCCTCCCCCCCCACACACTCCCCTCCCTCCTCCCCCCACACACTATCCCTCCCTCCCTCCCCTCGCACTCCCCTCCCTCCTCCCCCGCCCCTCACACACACTCTCCCCTCCCTCCTCGCCCCCCACACACTCTCCTCTCTCTCCCCCCCCCACACACTCTCCCTCCCTCCGCACTCTCCCTCCTCCCCCCCCACACACTCTCCCTCCCTTCCCCCACTCTCCCTCCCTCCCTCCCCTCGCACTCTCCTCTCCCTCCCTCCCCCCGCACTCTCCTCTCCCTCCCTCCCTCCGCACTCTCCCCTCCCTCCTCCCCCCCCCCCACACACTCTCCCCTCCCTTCCCCCACTCTCCCCTCCCTCCCTCCCCTCGCACTCTCCTCTCCCTCCCTCCCCCCGCACTCTCCTCTCCCTCCCTCCCCTCCGCACTCTCCCCTCCCTCCTCCCCCCCCCCCGCACACTCTCCCCTCCCTTCCCCGCACTCTCCCCTCCCTTCCCCGCACTCTCCCCTCCTGGCTGAAGGTGTCAGAGCGACAGTTGAGCAGCTTCTGAAGCCGTTTCCCACGGCGTCTTTCCCTTGTTTCAGGAGAAAGAGTCCACAGAGGATTACAACGTAGCCTGTATATTAACGCTGCCCCCTTACCAACGCCGGGGCTACGGAAAACTGCTCATCGAATTCAGTGAGTCATAATCACACTCTCGCGCTCTCTCTCTCTCTCTCTCTCCTCCGCCCAAGTTACGAGCTCTCTCTCTCCCTCTTTCACTCACTCACTCACTCACTCTCTCTCTGGCTCACTCACTGTGCCTCTCTCCTCCGCCCTGGTTAGGAGCTCTCTCTCTCTCCCTCTTTCACTCGCTCGCTCACTCTCTCTCTCTGGCTCACTCACTGTGTCTCTCTCCTCCGCCCAAGTTACGAGCTCTCTCTCCCTCTTTCACTCGCTCGCTCACTCTCTCTCTCTGGCTCACTCACTGTGTCTCTCTCCTCCGCCCAGGTTACGATCTCTCTCTCTCTCCCTCTTTCACTCGCTCGCTCACTCTCTCTCTCTGGCTCACTCACTCTGTCTCTCTCCTCCGCCCAGGTTACGATCTCTCTTTCACTCTCTCTCTCTCTCTGTCTGTCTCTCTCTCTCTCTCCTCCGCACATTATGAGCTCTTTCTCTCTCACACATACACTCTCTCACACACACTGTCTCTCTCTTTCTCACTCTCACAAACACTCTCTCACACTCTTTCTCTCACACACACTCTCTCCCCCCAAGTTGCAAACTCTCTCTCACACACACTCTCTCTCTCACACTCTTTCTCTCTCACCCACTCTCATTCTCTCTCTCTCTCTCTTCCCCCCTTCCCCCCAGGTTACGAGCTGTCTAAGGTGGAGGGGAAAACAGGGACGCCTGAGAAGCCTCTGTCTGACTTGGGGCTGCTGTCCTATCGCAGTTACTGGTCACAGACCATCCTGGAGATCCTCATGGAGCTCAAGTCAGAGAGCGGGGAGCGGCCACAGATCACCATCAAGTACGTGGGGGCGGAGGGGGTCAGGCAGGGGGAAGGGGTTAGAGGCAGGAGGGTTCAAGGTGGGGGAGGAGGAGAGAGGAGTCAGGGTGGGTTGGAGGGAGGGAACAGGGCTGGAGGAGGGGGAGAGGCTGGACCAGCGGGAGTGGTCACAATTTGGGGCAGGGGAAGGGGTCACAGAGGGGGAGGGAGCTTGGAGGGTGGGGGCGAGGGGCAAGCGGAGGGAGCTCGGGGCAGGGGGTCAGAGTTGTAACATTCCAGCCAATGTCAGATTGTGGGTTCGAGCCCCCATTTCGGGCTCATACTCTCGGCTGATGCTCCCCAATGTGTGTGTGTAGATATGGGGGGTGTGTGTGCGCGCGCGCGTGTGACGGTGTAGTGACTGTTCTCTCTGTCTGGGCAGTGAGATCAGTGAGCTGACCAGCATCAAGAAGGAGGACGTCATTTCCACACTGCAGTATCTCAACCTCATCAACTACTATAAGGTCAGAGAGAAAATTACTGCCTCAGCTCCAAACCTTTCTTCCCCCCTCCCTCCCCAACCCCCCCAAGTGGGTAATAATCCCCGAAAAAAAAACATAATTTGGTCATTTCGTTCCACGGCTGTTGTCCAATTGTCTGCCGCAAAATGTACAGTCACTGCACTTTGCGAAACGCTTTGAGACGTCTCAACGACGTGATAAGACGCTGTGTCAAATGCTACGCGGGTGGGGTGGGGAGGGAGGGCGAGGGGAGGGGGCAGAGGATAAAGCTAAGACCCCAATGACGACAAAACTCAGGTCTAATCTCTCTCTCTCTCTCTCTCTTCCCCCCTCTCGATCTCTCGCTCCTCCTCTCTTTCTCTCAGGGTCAGTACATCTTGACTTTGTCCGAGGACATTGTGGAGGGTCATGAGAAGGCAATGATGAAAAGACATCTGCGCATTGACTCCAAGTGTTTGCACTTTACCCCCAAGGACTGGAGCAAGAGGGGCAAATGGTGAAGGTAGCCCTTCCTCTCTCTTCCTCTCCCTCGCCTCGTCCCATGGACACAGCCCCGGTCGGCGTGAGAACCCGACCTCCTCTTCCTCCAGAGCAGAGCGACCAAAAGCAACTCTTCCATCCCGTTTTCTTTTCCCCTCCATTTCCCCCCCTCCCTCCCCCCCTCCCTCCCTCCCTCACGGAACCAGTCTGGGAATTTGTTGGGAAAAGGCAACGGGGGTTCCTCGGGATTAAGGCTGAACCCGGAATTTTGTCTCCAGAATTCTCGTCTCCCGAGATCACTTGGGAACCTGTTGCGACCTGCGTCCTCCCAACAGTGCAGAGGGAGCGTTAACCCTGACCCTGGGGAGTGTGGACGGACGCACAGTGGTGGTAGAGGGAGCTTTACTGCGTCTCCAACCCTGACCCTGGGGAGTGTGGACGGACGCGCAGTGTCACAGACGCTTCTGTAAATAACCCGAATGTTGTAATGATCAGCGCCGTTCATCAGTCGCTGTGTTCACAGGATGCTGCTTGTATATTAGTGTGTGTGTGTGTGGCAGAGAGTGTGTGTGTGTGTGTCAGAGAGTGTGTGTGAATGTGTGTGTGTGTGTGTCAGTGTGAGGGCGGGTGTGTATATATATATATAATATATATATGGGGGAAAACAGTGATATGAATGTCCAAGTCTTAAGTTGCACAGTTTTGTAGAGTCCAGATTCTAAAAATAAATATAATTGTAAATTATATAATTAATATCGTCTTTCCCTGTGTGTCATAGAAACTTATCCCATCGTGTCCGTGCTGGCACTCGCTCCCCCACCGGAGCCCTCGACGAACCCCATTCCCCGCTCTCTCTCCCCATCGTAGCGAGGATTGTTGGACCCTCTCCCAACCCCTCCCTCCGTCGACTACAGATCAACCAGAACTCTGCAGCCCGTGTCCTCTCCCGCACCAGGCGCCACGACCCCATCACCCCCATCCTCGCCCGACTCCACTGGCTTCCCATCACACAGAGGATACAGTTCACCTTCAAAGCCCTCCATGGCCTCGCTCCGCACGACCCCTCCGACCTCCTAAACCCCCTACGGACCCGCCCGCTCCCTCCGCTCTGGCCCCCGGCTCGCCCGCCCCACCATTGGCGGGCGAGCCTTCTGCCCCCACCCTCTGGAACTCAATCCCGCAGTCCCTCCACCTCTCCCCCTCCCTCACCTCCTTCAAGACCCATCTCAAGACCCTCCTCTTCGACCGTGCCTTCGATCCCCCTCCTTCCCCCTCCCCCCCCCCCACCCCTTGCCCCCCTCCACCCTCCCCGATCCCAACCCCGAAACAGATTGTCCAGTGCCTTGGGACGTTCTCCCATCGTGAAAAGTGCTGTACAAGTGTAATGTTGTTGTTGTTTTGATGGGGGTACGGAGTTTGTGTGTGTGAGATCGGGAGTCAGTGGATAACTGACGAGGACTGGTGTGACGTGGGGGGACGGAGTTTAGTGCGGGTGAGGACGCACATATACAATCCACATTGAATTCCGTATAAAAGCGGGGCTTCTGTTTATTTTTACACGGGCATAAAACGCGAGTGAGTGCGTGTGTGCGTGAGTGAGTGTGTGAGTGAGCGTGAGTGCGTGTGTGTGCGTGAGTGTGAGTGCATGTGTGCGTGAGCGCGTGAATGCGTGTGTGTGTGCGTGCGTGTGAGTGTAAGTGAGTGTGTGTGTTTGCGCTTGTGATTGTGTGAGTGCGTGTGTGCGTGAGTGAGTGTGTGAGTGAGTGTGAGTGCGTGTGTGTGTGTGTGTGAGTGCATGTGTGCGTGAGTGCGCGTGAATGAGTTTGTGAGTGTGTGTGCGCGTGTGATTGTGTGTGAGTGCGTGTGTGCGTGAGTGAGTGTGTGCGTGTGAGTGCGTGTGTGTGTGCGCGCGTGAGTGCGTGGTGTGAGTGTGAGTGCGCGTGTGATTGTGTGTGTGTGAGTGAGTGTGTGCGCGTGTGAGTGTGTGTGAGTGTGTGTGTATGAGTGTGTGAGTGCGCGTGCGTGCGTGCGAGTGAGCGAGCGAGTGAGTGTCGAGAGGGAGAAACGTAACAGATAGCAGGTTAATGAGTCTCGACGCTTCAAAATGGTGGCGCCGTGTTGATGGATGGAGCTGATCAGACGCCGGTGGGGGGGGGGGGGGGGGGGCAGCCTTTCGCCAACCGTCTCACACCGGGGCGTGAACCTGCAGAGAAGGGCAAGTCCTGGTGAGGGCGAAACGAGGGAATGTCCGAACGTCTTAGCGCTTAGCGCGCTCTCGCCTCACAGGCGAGCGAGCGGACCCGGGTTCGGTTCCCGGGGCAGCGCAGAGCCCTCGGCAAGTTTCCCTGCCCCCCCCCCCCCACTCCCACCCCCGCCCAGCGACGCCGGTCAGGCCCTTCCGGGTCCCGTCCACGAGCCAGCGAGTGCCCCGGAATACCGCGGGCCCTTCCTGGCTCGGGAACCGGGGCTGGAGACCCTCACACACAGAGAGAGAGAGAGAGAGAGAGAGAGGAGCGCGCGAGTGGGGGGCTCGATCCCCCACCTTCCGTGACCGCAGGAACACCAGGAGTCAATGATATAATAATAATAATAATAATAATAATAATAATAATAATAATCCTGGCGTTTGACCCAGCACCTCACCGCGTCTTCCCGAGACGTCCACAAGCGCTTCACGGGACACACGCGCGTAGAGTGGGGCGGCTGCGCGTTTTGCGGGCGAAAACGCGGCAGCCGACTGCGCGCAGCCGGGTCCCCGCGAACAGCCGGGGATTCCAGTGACCGAGTTATTATTATTATTATCTTTTTTTGAAGGGGTTATTAGCCCCGTAAGTGATCCGCCAGTCAACTAACAACCGTTTTAACTGCCGGTAAATAGGGAGGGTTGGGGGGTGGGGGGGGGGAGGGAGGCGCGTGCGCGTTTGTGCGTGCGTCTGTCCGAAACCTCGGGCAAGTTTCCTTACTCCACACAGAGCCTAATAATAATCCCTCCAAAAAACCCCAAACAATAATAAATTGGGTCATTTTCAATCCACGACTGTTTGTGGGACATTGCTGCGCGCAATCGGCCGCCGCGTTCGCCCACAAATATACAGTCAATTCACTTTACACTGTGTTCTGTGAAGCGCTTTGGGACGTCCTCCCGACGTGTGTGAAAAGCGCTATATCAAATGCGAGGATTATTATTATTATTAACTTACAGCCTCCGCAACGGTCGGCCAGTTCATCGCCTTGACAGCGCTGTCGTCCGGCCTGGGTGGAGTTTCCAGGTTCCACAAGTCAGGGCAGAGAACGTCGACTTAACCCGGACAACTCGTTCCTAGAGGTAAAGGTAAAAGGTTTGAGGTTTCGCCCACACCCCGTAGAACTCTCTCCCATGGTCTCCCTCCCTCCCTCACTCCCTCCCTCCCTCGAGGGAGAGACCAAGCCGAGCCAGGCAGTGCTGTCATCAGAGGAATACTATCAGAGGAGGTATGGGGTTCCTTCACCCTCCCTCCCTCTCTCCCTCCCTCCCTCCCTCCCTCCCCGCCTCCCTAACACTGACCTCGTCCTCCGCGCACGGCTTGGCTTCTTCCTTCAGGACCATCCCGATGTATCCCTCGGGAACGTCAAGGTCCAATCCATGGAGACAGCGACCACGGAACGATGAGGTTACTCCTTGAGGCAGGAAAGTTTTGTGACTCTTTTGAGTGTTACCAACCAACAACAACAACAACAATGCATGACATTTACAGAGCATCCTTCAGGTCCAGGGGAGGTCCGGAGGCGCTGGACAGTCAGGGATTTGGACCGGAGCTGGGTGTGGGAGGGGGAGGGGGTTGGGATCAGGAGGAGGTGGAGGGCGGGGAGGGTGAGGGTAACCGAAGGCACGGTCCAAGAGGAAGATGGACCTTGAAGGAGGCCGGGGAGGGGGTGATGCAGAGAGACTGTGTACCAGAGAGAGTTTCCTTACTCCCCACACACTCTTCTGTTTACCCAATGCCTGACCCCATCGATAGGAACCTTGTTGATAGTCAATTGACGGATCGCTTTCGGGGGATAATAATCCCTTCAAAAACATTCTCAAAAAATAATAATGTCGTCACTCAATCCACGACTGTTTGTGGGGACGCTGACGGGTGCAATTGGCTGCCGTGCTTCGCCCGCAAAACACACAGTCACTGCACTCTACAGTGTAACGTGTGAAGCGCTTTGAGACGTCTCGAGGCCGCGTTGAGGCACTGCGTCAAATGGGAGGGATCACTGTCATAAATACCTCACTAACCTCCACTCTCGTCTTCCCTTCGAATCGCGGGTGTGAAGTATTGGGACACTTTAGCAGCTCCATCGCACTCTATCCTCACCGGTAAGAGATGGAGTTTCTCTTTGGGAGCGTTGCTGAGAGAACTCAAGTCCACTCTAACATGAGGAACACTTCCTGAGGCCGCCATTGATTAACCTGTAACAGAGGAATTGCAACTGACGTTCCATTAATGTTTTTTTTAGTCGGGTGCATCTGACACACACACACGGAAACCCGTCACCGTGACCGGTCGGGCGTCTGACACACACACACGGAAACCCGTCACCGTGACCGGTCGGGCGTCTGACACACACACACGGAAACCCGTCACCATGACCCACCGGGCGTCTGACACACACGGAAACCCGTCACCCGTTGCTTAAGAGTCTCCAAACCCGACTGAGAATTCCCCACATCCCCCCCACACACACCTCTCTCTCTCTCTCTCTCTGCCCCTGCGAGTAGGTCGGCAAAAGCCAAGGCTTGTGGAGGAATCCAGTGTGTGCGATGAGTGGGGCGGGTGGGGGGGGGAGGGGGGTGACTGAAGGGGTCTAACCGGCTAAACCTCACAGCTTGGCCATTGACAGCGCGGTCTGGCCAAGCGTTCCCGCTGTTTGCTACCTCTCCAACCCGCTCACTCCCCACTGCACTACCCCCCCTGCCTCCGCTCGGCCGGCTCCGGCCGTCCTGCTTTGGCCCTCGTCCCCCCCCCCTCCGCTCCACCGCCACGAATTGACCGCCCGCATGTTCTGTGGGCAGCCAATCGCTCACGGCAGCGTCCCACAAAGAGTGGCGGTGGGGTTGAAGTCACCAAATTATTATTATTATTATTATTTTAAATGTTGAATGGATCCAGACATAACCCGCAGCCTTTCGGGGGGAGGGAGGGGAGGGGGAGAGTTCCAGGTGTCCGCCAACCCCTTTGGGTGAAAAACTGCCCCTGATTTCACCCCTCAATGGCCCAGTTCCGGTGGTGGTTGTTGTTGTTGTTGTTGTGGTGGTCGTTACCTGGAGATCAGGAGACAAGTTTCAAGTCAATTCACTTCCTGGTTCTCACCACGTGGTCATTGTCATCAATGTAGCGACTTGTCTGGGGGGGTGGGGGCGGGGCGGGTCAGCTGACGTCACTGCTTTTCAGAGCGTGCGCAGTTGCGGTCCACACGGAGCAGAGGCCGCTGGGAGGTGTCGTCTTTCGCTCCACGTGACCGAGCGTGGTGACGGGTCGGACCGGGAGCTGACGTCACTGCTTCCGAGCCTGCGCGTTGTGGGTGGGTGGGCGGAACGGTGGGGCCGACGTCACTGTTTTCTGAGCATGCGCGGTGCTGGGTCTCGGCGGCGGAGGCTGCTGGGAGTTGTAGTTCCTCTCGGTTGTTTTTCATGCTGATGGGTCTGGCTGGAGGGACTCAAGAGGGTGTGTCGCCGGCGTCGGCCGCCAGAGGGCGACAGAGACCACGACTCGTGGGAGAGACTGGAGTTTGTAGCCCAAAGTCAACCAGAGAATAGCCCCAAAGTAGCCCAATATTCTGCAGAGAGGAGGAAGGGAGAAAAGAGGGGGGAGAAGGGAGGGGAGGAGGGACAGAGAGAAGGAGGGAGAGAGGGAGAGAGAGACAGAAGAGGAGAGGGAGGGACAGAGAAAAAGAGAGGGGGGGGGAAGGAGAGAGAGAAAAAGGGGGGAAAGAGAAAGGAGGGAAGGAGAGAGAGGGGAAGGAGAGAGAGAAAGGGGGAAGAAGAGAGAGAAAGGGGGAAGAAGAGAGAAAGAGAGGGGAAAGAGAAAGAGAGGGGGAAGAAGAGAGAGGGGGGAAGGAGGGAGGGAGAGAGGGGATATTATTTGTATCACAGACATCAGGAGAAGGTTTTGTGGATAAAAACAGAGAGAAATGTGTATCAGATTCCAATTCTGTCCCTCTCTATATTCTTCTCTCTGCTCTCTTTCTATCCCCCTCTCTCTTCCTCTCTTTATCCCTCTCTTCCTCTCTCTATCCCTCTTCCATACCCCTCTCTCTATCCCTCTTCCATACCCCTCTCTATCCCTCTCTCTATTCCTCTCTCCCTCTCTATTCCTCTCTCTCTCTCTATTCCTCTCTCTCTATCCCTCTCTCTC